TAAAATACAAGCTTCTCATAGCACCGAAAACTATCTATAGGACCTGACCTCTGCCGCCTTCTCCAGAACACTCTCCCGTTGCTCTCTGCCTTGTTACTCCTTGCTGGCCACACCAGCTCCCTGCAGACGGCTGGGCTGCATGGAGGTCTCCATGCTGGTTCTTGCCCTCAGGAATATGCTTCCCTTGTCCTTCGTCTGGCTCGCTCTGGCTTCTCTTTCAGGTCGTGGCTTAAGCATCATCTTCTCAGAAAGTTCTGGACCTCCCATTCTTATATTCTTCCTTACCACTCTTTTTATTTATTTACTGTGTTTGTTCAACATCTATCTCTTCCTAGAGATAGGATGACCTGAGCTTCCTAGAGATTGGGGTGGCCATCTGTTTGGCTGACTGCCTACATCCCGAGCCCAGCACAGTGCCGGCTCAGAATACAGCGGGTGCTCCAAACAGTGTGCGGACCCCAGGACTAGCAGGCATGCTGTCCTCCCAGGCATACGCTGGCTAGCAAGCCTCCAGGAGGGGCCCAGAGGGCCTGAGCATGATCTTTAGATGCCTGAATTCTCAGACCCACAGGATCACCTTTGGACCAAGAAAGGCGTGTGTTGGACACCCAGATACATTCTGGGGATTACTTAGACTTACGTCCACATCACTAAAATGGGGGCTAAAATAAGTTTATCCTGCTGATTAAATGGGGGTGGAAGAGAGGGAAGACCCTGTCCAGTGCCTGCCACGTGTGGACCCCGTGCTGGGCTCTCTCTGCATGAGCACGTTGGGTGGGAATGAGTTCTGTGAGCCGCTGTGATGGGAACAGTGCGCGGTGAGCAAGGATTGAGTTCTCTGACCACATTTTAGCTCCCAGCAAGTCGGAGAGAACAGTGGTGCAACACTGGGTCCACCTGTGACCAGCAGTTGGAGAAGAAACCTGGTGCCACGCCGTCCTGTTTCCCCCGTCCCTGATCTGAGCATGTCCTGGGGCATTTTATTCCCCCTCGAGCCTGTGGGGTGAGTTGTTACTGTTCTGCTTTACCATCTTTACCACGAGGACACGGAGACTCAGCCGGGTTAAGTAAACTGCTGGAAGTGACACAACAGAACGACCTTGAATTTAAACCCCGGTTTACGGGCACCCCGTGGCTCTCTGTTATGAACTGAAGAGTGTCTCCCCAAATTCGTTAGGTTGAAGCCCTAGACCCCAGTACCTTAGACCCGGACTTGAGCTAGGTCCTTAGAGGCGATGAAGTTGGATGAGGTCGTGAGGGTGGGGCCCAAATCCAGTAAGACTGGTGTCCTCACGCGCAGGGGAGGGACACCTGGCTGCTGTTGTTGGCATCCCCTTCTCCCTGCAATCTGGATCTGCGGCCTGTGGTTTGCTGGGTGCCAGTTAAGATGCAGATGGGTTGTGTGAGAGTGTGGACATCGCAGGACGGCTGTCCGCATCCCTCCCCGAGCTCAGGCTCTCCATGGGAGGACAAACCTCAGTTCCCGCACTTGCCACGAGGAGTGATGAGAAGGGGGAGAGTCTGGACGCGCCTGCTTGGGTTGCTAGGATCTGAGCGGGCCGGTGGGAGGAGTAGGGCTTTGGGCTGTAGGAGCTGGTGCTGTGTGTGGACGGTCTCTTTTCTAGACATGGTTCTCCACTTGACAGTGTGGAGATGACTGGCACCCCAAACTCCACAGCAGGGGCTTAGGTGTCTGGCGGGGTTCTCTGTGGCTTCCAGCAGAATACTGCCTGCAAAGCCCCTGCCCGCACAGAAAGCTGAAGCCGCCCCCACTTCTCAGCCTCCTCGCCCAAGATCCCCCCAGTCCTCTGTAGTGAAAAGATCAGCACCGGAGCCTGTGTTGACAAAATGCTTCTAAGAACCCAGACACTGTAACCCCCTTTGTTGAGTGGGGGTTGGGCAGAAACTGCTCAGCAGGTCACAAACCTGTTTTCTCTTCTCCTCGGGGCAATGGGGCTTTCCCCGAGGCCTGCACCTCAGTAGGGGAGGCCACGTGACAGAGTCCCTGGCCGGCCAGCCAGCGAGCGACATGGGACGGAGGTAAAGTGTGCTGCCTTTCCCGGCACTTTCCCTGCACTGTCCTCTCCTTGTGTCACTTCCCATTCTGCAACTTGGCCTTGAAAGGGGTGAAGCTGAAAGGAGGGAGGGGTCAAACTGTGCTCAGAGGATGCTACTTTCCACATTTCACTCCAGGGCCTGGGGTTTCTAGCCGCTGACATCAGCCAGCGCTCAGCATCAGAGGGGCAGGGAGTGGGCAAGAGCTGAGGAAGGCTGGGATGCCCGCCTTCCGCTCAGCCAGAGCTCCCAGGGCAAGAACACGCGGGGGGGCTTTAAGGAAACCGAGCTATTCCCTAACTGGCTGAAGCAAGCAGTCTGTCTTTCAGTTCACTTGGGCCCTTCTTTGATACTCCGTCACTTTCGAAGGGTTATTTAGATTTGCTTGAGCTAACAAAATAAATTGTTCTATAATTGTGTGTGCAGACCTCAAGTATGCCCATTGTTTTAAAACTAAACAGCTCAGGAATAAATAAAATCTTTTAAAAAAACCAAAACAAAAACCAAAACAGAACAAAAACTAAACAGCTCAAGAATCTTGAGAGCATATCTATGCTCTCACATATTCATCAGATTTTAATGAAATTTGCTACGGTAGAAATTAATAGAGGCTGCAATCTACAACTAACATTAAGGATGACAGACAACAGTGAATTATGCAATCAAAAATTTAATAACAAAGATACTATTTTTAACATGGTCAAATATACTTGGCTAAGTCCAGATTTTAAAAAACAAAAGAATCTAGCCCAACAGTACAACCATACACTTTTTTTATACAGAACATTCCATAGATCAACAGAAAATACATTTGAGCACAAAAATAAAAAATATTTAAAGAGAATCTCTAAGCAGCATTTTATTTCTGCAAAACAGACATATATCTTGTACTGATTAAATATCTACAAGTGCTTTTCCTTTACAAAAATACATATATTCTTAATAGACTAAGTCATTAACAATGACCTGGTAATCTTTCACTTCAATTTGAATGATTTATAAGCTAAATCTTACAACCACAAAAAGGTTTTTATCTGTATTAAGATGTTACCACTTTTGACAAAAAAAGCTTAAAATATCTTATATTTCAAAGGAAAATTAGCAACATAACTGTACAATATATTCTAGGATGGTTCTGTCACGTGAGGGCTACTCTATTAAAAACTGGTGCTTGCTGTTGTGTTGCCAGATGTGGGAAGGCCGCGGACACTGGCGCTCTCCCACAAGCTCTTATCGTGGGCCACAGCTTCGTAAGGACACTTAGGCCCCCATCCCCATTCTAAAAAATACAGCAAAAGAAAACTGACCCCCCCCCCCCAAAATGGTAGGCTGATCCCATGACCTTTCTAACATGTAGAACTTCTGCCTGTTCCGGTGGACTGAGGGGAAGTCTAGGGATAGATGATCTGTTTCCTAGCTCTACATTGCCAGAAATATTTAATCTTCATTTGTTCTAGATTAGTTTCTTACTCCACAAAGTTCTGAAAGGTGAAAGAAAACTAGACCCAGTATTTTAACACCTCTGTTTCACTTGATTCTCTATTTGAAGAGAATTAAAACTAAAAGGATTTCTGAATGTCTCAATACTAAATCCTAGAAAAAGGGGCAGAATGAGTATACATATTTGAATGAGCATTTAAAATAAATTATATTTAAGTTTAATTTCATAACTTTCTGAAAAGGAAGTGCTTAAGCATTTTAATTCTATTTGCAAATACAGTAAGGATAGTGAGTAAACATACTATTTGTGAAGACTACATTACATGAGGAAGAGAATAATTTCAAATTATTGGGAAAATGTCTTTGCTTTAAGAAAAAACCATAAACATCTTGTATTTAAGTGCATTTTAATGAACTTTCAATCTGACGTTTTTCCATCAAAATACTACACACGATACTAGGTATATCAAGTAAATCCAGAATTGGCCGGTTATTTTGTGCTTTCAAAAGGGTTTCTGAGTCTCTAGTATATTTAATATTTTTCAGGTTTTCACAGACCAGATCTGGCAGACATGTTACGTTCCTTAGGGCAGGGATATAAGTTTTAAAGTATTAAGAGCATTTTCATGTTTTCTCATCCCAAACATTAAAGTTATGATGAACTCCTTCATTTTTTGCAATTCCTATAACCAAAGTCTTACTGGTTCTAAGGCTTAGCCTGCTGGAAGATTCCTTATGATAAGCCAGAGTATGTAACAGAGTGTTTCCAAGGAGGTTTGTCTAGTGGCCGATCAGAAAGACTGAACCGTGTGAGCTGTACCTTCAAGGTGGCCCCGGTGTCCGCTCCCAAGGAAAATGGGGGTGGGGGGTGGGGGAGTGGCAATGCTTCCTTGATGCATATGCTCTCGATCTGGGACCCACTGTGCCAAGCTGGGCTGTGCGGCTAAATTCTAAACACAATAAAGTAATCACTGAGAAACAGAACAAAGAGTTACTTTAAAAAATAATAGGCTTTTATGAAAAATTTGCTTTTGGATACAAAAAAAGCATTTACTTATGGAAGTCTAATAGTATGTACTATTTTTCTATACATGTAAGCAGCATGGTCAGCACTTCTACTAAAGTCTGCCTTTAGTAAAATTTCTTCTGTTATTAAGAACCCAGGAACTAAATAAACCCAGTTTTAGTTTATACGGCCTCCATGAAATGGATTAAAGAGCTTCTCAAATTAGAGTTTAAATTTTCCATTTTAGTTTTCTTTTCAAAGGATGCATTTCTCCCCCTTGCATCCAGGGGGAGCCAATTGTGGTGTTTCATCTCTTTCTCACCTTTGAGGATTTCCCAAGACCTATCAAGTGATGCTGGAAAAACAAGGGACATATTTGAAAGGAAGTGTGCTCTGATTATTGCAAGGAAAACCCACATTTGATTGATCTCATCACAAAAATTCAGTTTAAAGCCTTTCTTTGGTGATATTTTAGTAGTTACTCAAGGTTATTGTAGTTACTCAAGTTTATTGAGTTACTAACTATATAAAATTAAACTGCAACCTAAAAAAATTCCAACCTCCAAACTGTTAAAACTGTCTCTCTTACCATGGTTATTAATGAACAGTAGAATGTCTTTGGTGATCTCTATTTCTTATGAAAATCTTTCAAAAAGAGATTACTTTAACTTTAGTGCCTAGTTAGATACAAAACCATTCATAAGAGACAGGTACAGATAACTCAAAGTTTATGCAACAAATCTAAACAGAAATGCACTTTAGCAATGAGGCACTTTCTCTTAAAGATTTCAGTAAAGCTAAACAGCTCACAATATTATATAACACACTTTCCCCCCCTTAGAGAGTCATTTAAATTTAGATTAAATTGGAGTGTATAATGTAGTTGAGCAAACTCATTACATTTATAAAACGTGGCATATTCGTATGGGACATATTTCCAATGAATAAAGATATAATACACTTTTAGTAAAGTAATTAAAAGATATTACCCAAGGTACCTGTACCCCAGACTGAAATACCTTATATTACCTCATCAATAAGCCTTTTAGTTCATTTTTTATACTTCTTAAAAGTGTTTTGTTAATCTAGAGAAAAGGCTATATTCTGATTCTCCTATTAATGGATGTGATGACCCCAGCTAAAGTGGGATCTATAGGCCACAGTCCTTCTTTATACCCCAGGTTCCTTGACCCTCTTACATCTCTGATATCTAAGGCAGAGAAAACAGATGGTAAAATCTTTTATGGAAGTAAAGTTCTTTCAGTTCATTGCTTAAGAAACAATAGATTAAAAAATTTTAACTTGATTCCCCAATTTTGCAGATTCAAATGATTATTTCTACAGGTTATTTATATAAAGACTTTTATTAGTACCCTAAGCTGATAAAACTAACCACAAAAGTTGCCTATATATTTTTTTCTGTACCTAGTTTCTTACAAATTCCACAATCTGACTTAGGGGATAATTAGTGTATTGCTAGACATGATAGTAGTCCCATACTTAGAAAATCATAGTTGAATATACCAAAAGAAATCAGTTGAAGAAGTCTATGGTTCTTAAGAGTAACATTGTATTACTCAGGACCATCACAAAGTGAGTACCTTTCCCTAACACGTAACTGATACCCTTCTTTACTTAAGGTTTTCTTTCACATGTTTTGGCACATATTCCATTGCATTTCAGTAAAAATGTTAACAGGTTAACATGGAATAACAGAGTTTTATATAAAACTATTCTCAATCCCATAATTGCTTCCTAGGTATTTCCTTGGAAAAGAGTGAAATTATATGAGATGAGGCAGCAACAGGCCAGATTGAAAGAGATCAGGTATACAAAACTGATTTAAGGCTGTAAGTTTGGCTGGAGACCCAATCACATGTAGGTCTCCTTTGTGGTTTTTAAAACGCACTCTCAATCCATTTTGAGTTAATTTCCATATGTAAAACACCATTTTAATCACTGACTGCGATTTTAAAATTTCTTAGAGATGTCAGGGAACTGGATTTTATAGCACAGCAAAATGATTTCTGTAGCGGAGAGTAAATTCTGTTCTTGGTTGAGTGTAACCTAACCATTTTTAAAGAGTTAACAAAAATCTGCCTTTTAAATTCTGCTTGTGAGTCCTTCCAGGCACAAACACAATCTAACAAAATGAAATTCAGAAAGCATTGCCATAACCTTTGTCACAAAAGTCAAAAACAATAGAAGACTTTAATACAGACTCTCTAACTTGAAACAAAGACACATGGAAGAGATAATTATGAAGTTTCAGCCTTTTATGTTGTGAAGTATATCAAGATTTAGCTGTATTTTGTATGTTTTTTAGAGTTGTACTATGTTACAAGAAGCATTTTGAGATTCAGAAGGCATTAATCCGTGATACATTTTACTGGAAAATGTAGCACATCTATAATGTATACAGTATAAAAACTATGTGTGTAACACACAGATTGTGCTCATGTCAGATTTCTAAAAGAGTTTTCCTAACTTTCAAGATTTTTCCTAAGTTTTAGAGGTTAACTTGTTTATTTTGAAGCAATTAATAAAACTTGATTTCCAAAGAAGTTTTTTGAAAACAACTGTAAATTTTAAAAGGTTTAAAATGAAGTTCTTCATATAATTTAAGGTAACAAGACTTACTTTGACTTGCAGACTAATCTCAAAATGAACGGAAGACTTAACAAAACTGCAAAATCAAGGACATTATCACAGCTCTGAACTTAATGAATTTATGTATAAAACAGAATCCCGTTTCCCCCTGATTACTACAGGATCTAAAATGAAATATCCTCAAACCATTAATTTCGGTTAGCATATTTACCTACTACACAGCATTTATTCTATTTTACGCATATGGTTTGGAAATGTGATAGGTAACTAACAGTTTTGATTGGTAATTGCCTTGAGACTTCTGAGATCCATAAAATAGCTAATGTTATCTGCTCTAAAAGTCCTAATATTTAAAATCATCCTAACCCTCTGCATGCCACAATGACACACACCTAAGGCCAACTTAAAAAGAGAGACACCACACTCATTAAATGGGAGCCACAATATAATGACACACACATAAAACAGGCTATACACAGTGACGTTTCGTGAAGCAGCACCTGCTTTTCATAAGGCATTATGAAAGTTTGACCTTACTGATGCATTAATTTTGTTAGAGTAAATGTGACCAGTTGTCAACGTCTTGAATGGTTGTGAATCCCACCTCAGGTCTCCACGAAGTCCCTCCCATTTTCCATCCCGAGGGCTAAGCTGCTCTCCTTGTGCAACTGGCAGACTACACAGCTGGAGGACTGAAAAGGTCTACTGCTATCATGTGCTCTAATGATAAGAATGATTGGCATTCTTCCCCAAAGACTTGCACACTCAAGAGTGAACTATTTCATGCACAAAAAGCTTACTGAGAACAGGACAGTGGCTCAAAAACCATTCTTCTAAATACTTTCCCATACAAAATAACTTCAAGAGACAGTAATTATTTCTTGTACAGTACTCTAAACAAAGGTTAATAAAATATTAAGTATGTGAACACTGCAACACCACACAGAGTCATAGTACTAGTGTAATCAAACATCAGGACAGTCTGGGAACAGGCAAGCAAGATACGTGGGAGGCTGGATCGTGACTGCACACCTAGCTGATGCCAACCCTGGCCGTACTGGACACCGTGAGACGGCAAAGATACCTTATGCAGATGGTTCAGTAGCAGAATGGCACTTGGTTCACTCTCAATAGAAACAACATAAATGTAACTGACAATTTAGAGACAGACAAATGGCCTTATTTGCATGCTGAAAATCTGGTTGTGTCCCTCTCGTCCACACACCGTTCACTGTGCGATCTGTTGATGAGTAAACAAAGTGCAGGATTCATCTCGGGGGGATCGAGGCCCCTTGGTCTAACCGAAATCAATTCTTGGTCGATACTGCAATACCATGGGATAGGACTACAAAATAAAAACAGGATGATGAATGAGACTGTGATTACATGAAAGCAATAAAGATTATATATAAGATTTTTAGAATGCAGCATTCTACTTTGCAATATTTCCTGGTACTAGTGATTATGACAATTAAATGAAGACTAGTTACCTTTAAAATTATTTTTAAGTTGCCTTTTTTTTTTCCAGAATCAGTGAAGTTTTCTGTACTCTATGTAACAAAGGTCAAGTTCAAAGGCTCACTGATGTCACACCAGCTGGGTATGTGACCATTACTAATGTAACACTTAGCGAGGGCCAGGGGAGGACTGAAGGTTCTGGGCTCTGCATAAAGGCATTCATTCCATCGATCCTTAACCACGTGGGCTGGATTCCACCCAGAGCTGCTGTCTGTGGCAGCCCACTGAGTCACGAGGTAACAGACCTCTTGCTATGAATCAGTGAAACTGGGACAGTTTTCACGAATCACATTTTTTAAAAGTTAAGTTTGACACCTTTTTCTTTTTAACATTTAAACTTTAATGGTCCTTAAAAAAATGCTGAAAAACAAGTAGGTGTTATATAGAATATTAGGTTGCTACCTCCTTTCAACAGTTAGTTGATACAACTATCTATTCACTGTGGACTCTTCTATAAATTAAAAGGTTCAGGTGGTCCTTGGTTGTTCTGACTCTGGAAAAGGTGTCCTACATCACCACACTAGAGACGGAAGTGCTTCCTGTGCACGAGAGGCACGTGCCACACAGCCACCTCTGTATTTGTCCCGCGATTTGACTGTATAATTTAGAACCTAAACATCAGAGTCAGAAAGGTCTGGAGAACCAATGGTTTTCCTTTTTCTGAAAGCTGCTGAGTCCCTTTTAAATGCAATTTTGAGGAGCAACTTCTATGAAACCAAGACAGTGTGGAGACTGTCACTGACGGTTCCCCTTCATCTCCGCGTAGGTGAACATAAATCTCTAGGAAAGAAAATTGTGTACTTTTTCATACATGTGAGAGAGATGGACCGAGGTTCTATAATCCTAAAAAATGGCCATTTCTGTACTAATCATAGCTATGTTATATACTGAGAAGACTCGTCATTGGAGTCTTTTCCCATTCAGCTCAGGATGGGACTGGAGGATGGGAATGAAAATTTCTAGGTCTTGCCCTTTCCAGCTGAGGACGTTAGGTGGTGCCACCACCAGTCCTAAGGGCTGGAATAAAAGTCACAGTCTCTCAAGATTTCCATGGTCTAAATCTATTTTGGTTTAAATTTTGTTTACTTGTTTTTACTTAGAATTTGTTCCTTCTGAATGAGAGTGTCTGGGAGTGGCACAGGAATCTGCATTTTATAAAAAACTCCCTGGGTTTTCTGAAGCTCAGATGTGGAGACTGCTGCCCAGGCATCCCACCCTGACTTGGATACTTCCCATTCTCCCTGGCCCAAGAGGGAGCTTGCCCCCTGTCACAGCTGTCTTCCTAGCTGTGCTCTCCAATCTGGACTGCTGAATCCACATACTTTTGGCAAATAATTAAGCCACTCGTTCTAGAATCCCTTCATAATATATAGAAGAATCCATCACCGATTCTACTGGGATAAAGGTAGGGAAGTAAAATGGCTTAGCTGTCTGTGGTCAGGATCTTCTGGTTTTCGCTGAAAACCAGTTGGTTTTGTCCTCCAAGTAACCATTTATGTTTGTTCTATGATGACACATGAAGTTTAATCTTACTGAAAAGTTTTAAAATGCTGGGAACTGTTAAGACATACTTGAAGTTCTATTTGTATTTCAGTTTGCTTTCTGTAGTAAAATGGCGCTGCATGTACTATCATGAAATATGGCACGTCACCCCCTAGTGTTCCGTGACTGTCCTGAATAGACCCACTTGGAGAGTTGCTAGTCCTCAGTCTCATCATCTCCTAAAATAAAAAACAGATACTTCCACAGTATATATTTCAAATGTGATAACTTTAGAAAATAATGCTGACCTTCATTGATGTGCTGCTTTTCTTAAAAAATCTTTATCATAAAAGTAAACGTGACAGATTTGGAAAATACAGAAAAGCACCAAGAAAAAAGCAAAATCATTTAACCATACCAACATTCAAAGATAACTACCATAATTATTTTAGTGTATATCCTTCTAGCCTTTTTGTCTATATACATATTTTTTTTCGAGACTGTAACCATGCCACACATATTGTTTGGAAAATAATTTTGTCCACATAAAATTGTAACTTCCATTAAAAAATTCCATGACTTCTACACTATTTAATATCCCACGTGATATTTCTAAAGGATGACTATAATGCTTTTCTATAAAAGAATTATAAGTTATCAATAAATCTTTTGTTATATGTTTTAGTTTATTCCTTTTTGTGTGTGTGTGATTATAAATTAATCTTGACCCAATGATCAGGGCTGGTTCCTAGAAGTGGAACTGCTAGTTCCACTGCTGCTAGTTCAAATAACACACACATTTTTAAGGCTTTTTTTTTTTTTTTTTTTTCTGATCAGCAAAGATAATGAATTTATTATTTACCTGACCAAATCACTGTAATTTGCATTGGATATTTAAAAATAAGGCATTTATTACTAGTTTTTGAACCTTTAATGTAGGAGAGATTCCTGATAGGCTTTTACAAATATGGAAAGTAGCTTCCAGGCCCTCTTCGTTTAAGGATCTTTGGAGATTCACAGGAACTACCAGATTTGAAGACTACACCCTCCAATGAGGACAAAAATTCAGTGACTTCCCCAAAATAATTAATAGTAAATTACAAGTCCTGAAAACTCCTAGTTTTTCACAAAATGCTCCACAGTTTTCAAAAGACAAAAAAGGCATTTTTGTATGTAGATAAGCCTTTTAAAATATAAAGACAGACCACAAAGCGGTGTGACAGGTTTTTTTCTGTCACTTGTAGACTCCAGACAAGGCAATCCTAAGAACCCTAGAGGTGCTGTGGAAACGTCTTCATTTACGATCGGCATAAAATGCGGCCAGGAGTCAAGGGACCGTGGTTCTGGCTGCCATCGCTCATGGTGTGATCCCGAACAAGTCTCTGAACTTTTGGAGAGTGGAAGCCCCATCACGGGATCAGAGGGGTGACAGGTCATCCTGAAGGTGTCTTCTAGCTCTGTCATTGTGTAATGCGATGAAATCAGACTGATGTGTTCCAAACTCTTTGGACGTCAGAACCTACACTGAACATATAGTACTTTTAAAATTCCTACTTCTCTTCTGAGTCCTGTTCTTAAATTTTTTTTTCATGTTCTTCAGTGCCCTGAGGTATATTTTCCTACTGAACAGCCTCTTCATGAATAGCAATTAAAACGCTTCTCGAGGACGTACTTCTCATAACTTGCTTTTATTGTTTTTCAACTTGCTGCTTTAATTTCTCCAAGATCTCCTCTGCAGTTGTGGATGCTAACAGCTTCACCACTTTTTCACGAGATTTACCACCCTTATCCAAAACCACGTCACTCTTCCTGAGCTCCAGGACCTTGGAAAGGTACCGACAGAGCTCGGCGTTAGCCTCTCCTTCTGACGGGGGCGCTGCTATGGCCACACTCACCGCTTCCGCTGTCACGTCTGTGACAGCGTTTTGTTTGGACCCGGGTTTGGCATGGATGGCTATGGTGACACAACCTTTAGGATCAACTGCCACAGGACCTAAGGGAGGAAGTGGTCTCTCTGGCTCCTTGCTCTGGCTCTTACCCTTGTTCGTCGCACCGGCTTTCTTGGGCATCTCGGCGCTTAAGGAGAGCCGGGCAGAGGCTCGGAGCCCGCGTCCCGACACTAGCGGCCCCGGCCCGCAGCCCAGCCGCAGCATCCCCGCGGGGGAGCCGGGCAGAGACCCATTTTTAAGGCTTTTTGATAAATACTGTCACACTAGGCTTTAAGAAAGTTATTCTATCTTTACATTTCCAAAAGATATATGAGTGCTTTCTTCAATAGCCTCAACAATAATGAGTACTATATTTTCTTCCCTCCTAATATGGCAATTTAAGCATAAAATATTATTTTATTTCTTCTAAAGAAATTAACCATTTTTGTATGCCGATTAGTCAGTTTTGTTTCTTTTGTGACTTTCCTAAGCATGTCTTTTGTTCATTTTGTTTTGTTTTATTTTTTTTTCATTTTTCTAAGGAAAGGTAAATTTTGTCTTATAGATTTATATGAATTCTTCATGTATTAAAGACATTAAAACCTTCTGTCACACATTGCAAATATTTCCTCAGTTATGGTATTTTTGCCAAGTACTTTTCAATATTAACAGTCGACTTGGTTTGTCTTTGTTTCCCCTTACATGTACAATGAGAAAGCCTGTCTCTACTCTGACATTACTCAACTATACTTCTTCCTGATCTTTGATGGTATCAATTTTAATATTTACCACTTTAAGTCATGAGAATCTCCTATAACATGAGGTATGGACTACATCTCCATCCCTGTCACCAAAGGTCGCAGTAAAATTTATTGGAAACAAACCTAGATCACCCCCAACCCCTCCTCCCCCACCCCCCACCCCCCCCGCCACCATCTATACTCTGAGTTCACTGATTACTCCTGCCAACGGCCAACTGCTATCTCTGCTCCTGCCTCACCGGCCTCCTTGCAACCTTCAAGCAACCAGACATAACCACTCCTACAGGTCTTCCCACTGTGTTCCGTTCTTCTGAAGCACCCTACCCCAGATACACACATGGCTAGTTCTCTCACTTCCCTTTGATCAAGAATCACCACTTCAAAGAGGTCTTCCCTTTATCTAAAATATTCTATTTATGTTTTCACACTATAAATTGTATTCATTTATTTTTCATCTTTTACCATCATTAGAGCATAAGCTCTATAAGGAAGAATAATTTTGCTCATTTTTACATCTGTGTCCCCAGGACCTAAAAGACTGCCCAGTGACCTTAAGTGCTGAATTGGTATTTGCTAAATGAATCATTTTTAATTCCGCTAACTTGAAATACTCTTTATAGACTCATACATACCAGACAGTCTGTTCCTGAGCTATTCTTTTGATTTGTATGTCTGTGTTTAAGTCAGTACCTATTTTAATGACTTCAGCTTTAAGACACACTTTAGCATGTGGCAATGCACGTGCCCCCTGATTACTCACTGAAAGATGTGACTGACCAGAAGCACTAGTTGATACTTCCTGATGAACTTCAGAATGACTGATTCTGTTAAGTTAAACAAGAATCGGTAAAAGTGTGCTTGGAACTACATCTAACTCCATAATTTAATTATGGGGGAGAAAGGACATCTCTATAGTATCTCATATATGATTTAAATTTCTTGAGTGTGAAGTGGTATTTTGGTTGTTGATGAGGAAGTTTTGACTTAGAAAATACATGCTGAAATATTTAGTGGTTACTGTCATGATACTTGCAATTTACTTTCAGAGGGCTTCACAAAGAAACAATAGAATTATAAAGAGATTAATAAGATGAGAAAGGAAGAGAAGGAAAAAAGGGACAGAAAGTGTAGCAAAATGTTAATTAGTAGAAATCTAAGCAAAAGTAAAGGATATTCCTTTGTATTATTTCAACTTTTTTGTTTTTTGGAAAATTTTCAAAATAAGTTGGTAGGAGAAATTGGGACTTAATAATGAATTTTATCAAATGCCTTTTTAGTATCTACTGATGGTTTTGATTTGACTGTGTGTTTCTCTGCATAAAATATGTTTCTACTATATAACATATATTACTTCCCTCCCCCAATATTAAGCCATTCTTGTATTTCTGATAATACTACTATTTGGTCTTATTATTTTTTTAGTATATGATTTTAGTGTATTATTTATTATCTTTGTATTTGTATTCAAAATGAGATTGATAATCGTTTTCTAGTTGGAGGTTCTCCATCAGTTTTTGGTATCATGATTATGTTACTTTTGTAAAATGAATTTGGAAGAATTCTACCTCTTTCAACAATTTTTTAAAAGATTTATTTATTTATTTGAAGACAGAGATCACAAATAGGCAGAGAGGCAGGCAAGGGGGTGGGGGAAGCAGGCTCCCTGCTGAGCAGAGATCCTGATGTGGGGCTTGATCCCAGGACCCTGGGATTAGGACCTGAGCCGAAGGCAGAGGCTTAACCCGCTGAGCCACCCAGGTGCCCCTCTTTCAACAATTTAAAACAATTTAGAATTGGAATAATTTATTTCTTGAAAATTTGAGAGAACATGACCATAAAACTACTCAGACATCCTTTGAGGAAGGATTATTATTTTCTTTTATGATTTAGTGATTTACGGTTTCTTTCTTCATGGGTAAATTTTGGTCCATTGGTAGTTTCCTAGAAAACTGTCCATTTTGTGGAATTTAAAAATTTTTTAAATTTTAAAATAGTATAAATATATAGTTTAAAATAGTATAAAGCTATATACATTGTTTTCTTGAAATACGTAAGTGATAACTTTTTCCCTGAAAATTTCTAATTGAACTTTGGCTAAAGGCATATCATGTTAATTGTAAGTTCAACTCATGACAGGACTAAAATCCACAATGAAGTGAAGAAAGAAAAGGGAATTTGTGAGGATTTAAAAAAATCTGATCTTACTCCAGTTCTCTAATATTTTAGGTCAGATTTTACGAACATCTTCAAGGAAACAGACATCAGTGCCAAGAGTGAAAGCAAAAAACCATGTATGTATGAGTTCTAGTTCAAGGCAGAACCATCACTAAAATTTATCATCCCAATTAAAATGTACTTTTATTAGGTAACTGGAAAATGGATCAGAGGAAAGTTTTTCTCAGTGCATTTTAAAATTAGTCCTCTTTCATTTCTTCATTAAAAGAGGTAACCCAGGGAGAGCACTCAGGGCAGGGCCTAGTCAGCAAGCTCACAGTTCCACAGCGCTGTTGCCCTTAGGGTGATTTCCCTAATCTGGCATTTTATCTTTCACTTGTGGGTGACTGACTGATTAAAAAAAAAACACACGAAAATTTATGCAAAGAAGTATTGGGTATGGAGCAGAGATCCAACATAGAGTAGATTTCTCAAGGGGTGAAACTAGTAATTATTAAAAACTTCTGATTTTAAATTAAGAAATAATTTAAATAAAAAATAATTTAATAAATTAAATTGTTAAAACTCTCATAAATAATGGCCTTAACACTTATAATTTCATTTTCAGTTCAGTGAAATTAATTAGATAAATGCAAGAGAACTAAAATAATGGGACACTCTGGGGACATAAATTGAAAAATGAAGTTTTATAGCTCAGATAAATACTGGTTTTGCCAAGCTGCAGATCTTAGAAACTCGAGTTTGGGACAAAAGCAATCACCACCTTGGCGGGCGTCAGGTGGGCATATGTACAGTCGTGAGTGCCTCTTACCTGATACAAAGGGCCATCCTGAGAGCAGACTTGCGAAGCTGAGCAGTTCAGACACCGAAACTGCGGAGGAGATGAACTCATCAGATAAGAGGCATCCACAACTGGATACATATTTAAAACTCATTATTTAAACTATTTTAACGTCAAACATGAGCCAACATGATAATTTTAAGTAAACACTTTCCAAACTATGGTAGCTTTTTTTTTTTTTTTTTAAGATTTTAATAACTTAGTGACTGGTAAAATGTAGCCTGAGACAACTTGAGTATCTAAATATCAGTTTTGTTAATATTCTGCAAGTATTTACGAAAATGGTGCCTATCGTTTCCATCTCCTCTTCAGATAATAATTTCTGGGAAAACCCTCACCTCTTCCAATCCAGGAGGGGTACCCTCCTTCTTCTACCCCTTCCAGTGACTAATCTCATTTAGCTCGCTCTTCTACTACCCGTGAAAGCAACACTGTTAGAGTTCAGAGCTCTGAAAGGGGTATGCAGCTTGCCCCAACATGTAAGGGGTCCGTTTTCTGTTTTAGATGAGGTTCTTTATATTGCTCAGATTCGATTTTTAGTCTCCGTATCTATTTAAAGAGCGGAGAGTATGAACTCCTTAAGTCTGTATCTTATTCATGTGCACTGTCTTAATAACTAAGGCCCAGAAATGGCATACAGCAGCTTCTCAAAAAAATGTTTTGTGAGTAAATCAATGAATGAACACATTCTAAATGTGTAGAGTAGATTCAGTTGTAAACCCACTAACTTTTAACAGTTTAACCATTCACAGTAAAGGAAAAAAATCATTCCCAAATCTTGATTTTTCAATGTTGAGCTAAATACTTATTAAACATGAACTTTATGTTAATTGTAACACGATTATAAACAATGAAATATATACTTTAAAATTATGTATATATGAATTTAACATTGCATGCCTCTTCAAAATAGGAAAATATACATAAAAAATAGGTATAAATTAACCAGGAAAAATCTAACATCCTAAAGTAAGCAGCTTTTTAAAAGGTAGACTTTGAAATAATGTTAACGTAAGAAATGATTAAAACAAATGTACTGGTAGCCTTTTAAATAAAATTTTAGAAATTTTCCATTTCCCCAAAAGACTAGCCATTTTTTCCAGGAGTGAGTCCTGGACTTTCTGTACAGGGCTCATCAACATGCTGGAAGCCATGCCCAGCACTGCTATCCTTAGCAACCTTCCCTTTTCTCTCTGAAGAGTCCCCACACTCTGGCCTATCAGACTTTGCAAGTCCTGAACAGCATTTAAGAGGAAGAGTTAAAGTGAAGGAGGCTATTTCACTAAGTGATTACAAGTCAAGGAGGATGTTTGTTTTTCCTAGAATTGCTTAATAATGTAGATAAAGCAAAGCAAGACAAATGTGGCGAGGTAACTTGGGGTATGTCCTGGCAGGAAGTTGTGAGAAGTGACAAAACCAACCAGGATCAGCTGGGAAGGAAGGGCTGTACTGAGAGTTAGTACTCAACCTACCTGAGAAAAAGGAGAGCAGGAAGAACATGAGTTCATGATGAAAGCCGAGGCCAAATGGAAAAATATGAATAGTAAGCTCCCAAGGATGAGAGGAAGTTAAGTGAGAATTACAATAACAAAATGCAACATACATAAGCTATTCATAAACTCCCTAACATTTACTATGTCAGGCATTCTGCTAGGTACTTTATAATATTTCATTCTTACTAAAAAATTTCAAGACAGGTATTATTACACCCAAATTTTAAGGATTTAGAAAAAAAAAAAAAAGAGTGGAAACTAGGAAGCAGAATAGCTCAGTTGGTCAAGCATCTGCCTTCAGCTCAGGTCATGATCCCGGGTCCTGGGATCAGACCCTGCGTGGAGCTCCCTGCTCAGAGGGGAGTTCTGAGCTCTGCCCCTCCCCTCACTCACGCTCTCTCTCTCTCGAGCAAACAAATAAAAAATCTTAAAAAAAAAAAAAAAAAGCCAATAACTAGGAAGCAGAAGCAGAACACAACTGGGAGGAAACAGTTACAACATATATAACCAAAGATTATAGAATCCAGAATATATAAAGAGCTCCTAGAAGTTAGTTAGAAAAAGACAACCACACAATGGAAAAACAGCAGCAAGGCAATGGATAGGAGAAGAAACTTCACAGAAGAAATACAAAATTGATGCAAAATTCATGTGCAAAGTTGGTGAAGATTTCGGAAAATGGGAACTCTCATATATTACCAGTAGCATTATACACTGCTAAAATCCTTTAAGAAGGAAATCTGTATCTGTCAAAATTTAAAACATGCACACTCCATTGTAAACCCATATCTGGAATCTAGCCAATGAATCCGCTTGCACACGTGCGAGAATGTACATATGTGCTGGAATCTAGCACTGCTTGTAATGTTTAAGAAACTTGAAAAAGTCTGAATTTCTACCAAAGGAGCATGTTAATCAGATTATGCTGCAGCCACACAAATGGAATACTATCAACTTGTTAGAATTGTATCAAGTTTGTTGATTCTCCATATGACACATCAACAAATGAGAAAAAAAAAAAGTTGCAGAACAGTACATGTGAGTCCATTCATGTTTCAAAAATGTGAATATAGCATATACTTATGAACAGGATCATTCATGTATTCTTGATGACTGGTCTAGATAAGTTCCTTCCAGACTGCGATCTAATTCTGTAACTCTACACCCTCAATTTACAGATGTGGAAGCTACAGAGTAAGTCAGTAGTCATGGATCACGTTTCCTAAACCCTTATTACTCAAAAGACGGTCCAAAGATTAGATGCACTGGCATTCCCTGGAAACTTGTTAGAAATGCAGAATCTTGGGCCCCACCCCAGACCTACTGAGTCAAATATGAATTTTAGCAAGATCCCCAGGGGATTTCTATTCACATTGAAGTTTGAGAAGCACTGGTTTTAAGACAAGGTACATTTTCTTCATTAATAAGTGCAAGATGAACACCAATCTTGAGTATAATACCTTCAGGTATCAATGTTATTATGAACTGAAAAATCTCTAAGAGTTAGCTAAGTTTAACCAGATGTTTGATTCCTAAAGATAAAATCCCAAAAGTATAAGGACTACAGAGAACAGGCTTAGCCTTCAGTGGAACTGCCCCAGGATAAAGAAGAGAAAAGAGGCGGAGATGCTGTGTCGCTCAGGGAGATGTTGCTCTAAAGAAACGGAGGCCAAGTGGACTTCTCCAAGATTCTTCCTAGGAGTCCAGACCTCAGACAAGGTAAGGAGGTGATGGAACAGAGTGGCCTTGCCTGAGACAGAAGACCCTGGGGGCAGAGGCAGCATCCCGTGTGAAGAGGGAAGAGGGTACAGGGTTGACTCAGAGACCTAGGAGAGCCTGGAACACATGAGGAGAACACCGCTGCCCCAACACCCACAGCACTGAGTAGACTAAAAAAACCCTGCAAAGATGCCAATTTCAGCCATATCAACCTAAAAATTTATTCCAATGCCAATCATAATCCCACTCTCAAGTTCATCTGAAAAAATAAATGGGTAAAATTAGCACCATTTTTAAATGAACAAGCATAGCTGTAACAAATATGAATATACATCGTAAAGCAAATTAGAAGGCCTGTTTGCCTTATAAATTAGTTTGAACTTTATTCAAAATTATCCCAAAGAAAATGGATAACTGAGGGGCTTTAAATTAGGAGCGGGGTATGGTCAGATTTTTATAAAACTATACATACTGTGTAATATGCAGGGATAAGACCTGTGCAGAAGAACAAAATAGAATGTCCAGGAACATGTGTGTACATATCTGTGTGTACCTATTTCTGTGTATGTGTACATGTGTGTACATACCTGTGTGTCCATGTGTGTACATATACATGTATGGATACATATGCACAGATAATGGTGACAGATCAAAACACAGATATATAAAGTATGGCTTATTCAATAAATTATGTTTTTGGCATAAACATCTTAGAATAATTTTTGTTAGAGTCTTAGCCTCATTATAGGTATGTGCATGTAAGTAAGTAAATCTTAAGTGGATCACAATGTTTAATGTAAAAAGTATTGGGAAGAAGCAAAAGAAGGCCCCATGGTGGTCATGAGTTTTGGTAAACAACTGATCCCAGCCCAACACACAGCCAGGTACCAAGAACAGCAGGCAGAGTCATGTGAGCTTGTCAGACATCCTGGCATCCTGCTGGAAGCGGAGGGTAGAGATGGGAGGGACGTGACTGCATCAAATACACTAGAAGGGGCTTGATCACTAAATGACTGTTTTATTGCTAACTTGTCCATTCATTCCAACTGTTAGAATTCACCAATTATTATAATAATAATTCATAATTAGTCGGAACATAAGCAAAAATTTAAAATTTAACAGAAGACAAATGGAAAATGGAGATTCAAATAAATGAGATAATCTTTAGGATATATTTTGCATTAACTATGACATTATGAAAGAAACTTTTCATTCAATTTACTCTTTGAACAGATACTGAGTATTGGTACTAGGCCCTGCTCTGGGTACTGGAGACTCCGTAGTGAACAAATAATTATCCCTATCCTCAGACTACATTTGAGTTGGGGGACAAACAATGAACATAAATAAGTGGCATAGTATGCCAGATGGTATGAAAAAAAAAATACTCCAGAAAACAATCAAACATAAAATGTATTGGGAGAATGCCATATTGGGAGTGGGGGTTGTACTATTAAGGAAAGTCGGAGGCCTCACTGAGAAGGAGATGTAGAAGCCAAATTCCTTGGGCGAAGAAGGTAAAGAAAATGATTCACATGGGTACTTCGGGAGGTAGGAGAAAGCCCAGCATGTCAGAAGAAACCGAAGCGAGTGGGGCTAGGCTGTGGTGAGTCAAAGGAGAGTAAAGAGTAAGATCACAGAGGTGTCTGGGGAAAATCGTGGGGGTCCATATCTATAGGTCCTGGATGACTTCAGTTTTTATCTGAATGATATGAGATGTCCCTGGAGAGTTAAGAGCAGAGAAGTGACATGTTCTAATTTGTTCTCAGGGGATCCCTCTGGCTGCTGTGCTGGGCCAGGACAGTAGTGGGACCCTGGGTAGAGGCAGGAGAGGAAGCATGGAGCCCAGGGAGATTTTTACAGAACTTCTGGAGAATGGTGACAGCTGCGGGGCCCAGAGTGGCAGACGTGGAGGGGGAGAAGACATAACTGGACTCCGATCATGGTATTCTGATAGGAGAGGTCACAGAATTTGCTAAGGATAGATGAAAGAAAAAGAAACTAATCAGAGCTGACTTCAGGGACTCTGGTCTGAGAAACTGGAAAAAATGGAACTACAAATCTTAGAACTACTGAGATTGTAAAAGACTGAGGTTAGAAACAATTCTGTCATGCCGAAAAAATAAAATGGACTAATACATTACCGCTGTACTAAAGCTAGTATCTAGTTGTCCTATTTATTGGTTTAGTTTTTACATGAATGAAAAATCTTAAGGTACTGAACCATTTTCCCAACCAACCTATATTAAAATATGCCTTAAACAACATAGGAATTTAAACTATCAGATACGTGTAATCAGAAACACAACTGTAGTAAAGACTGATTTAACTGATAGTCAATTAACGACAATTTCTTCAAATTAGCTCTTTAATGCTTTGACTTTAAAATAACTGGCAGTGTGGATGACCTCTGGGAAGGGACTGTGAGAAGGACAAGTGAGAGCTAGCTCTTCAACCTTAAGGCAAACCTATTCATAGCACTTGAAAATCATTAACACATAATAAAATGCTCAAAGACTTATCAAAGAAAACTAAAATTACATTATGATATTATATGTGATATCACAATATCTAAGCCCCCACGGTGCTGGGTAAGGGAGAACTGACTACCTCTGTAATCTGCACCTGGTACCTGAAACATTTTGGTTGGAAGGATTCAATGAGGGTGATGTATGTAGAACCATTTTAAAAAACTATAAAATATCCTAGAAAGGTGGTAATAATTTACCAAATACAAAGATAATTAGATTTTTTTTTTAAATGAGGCTTAGAGGGTCTAATGAGTTCTTCCTGGCACATGACTAGCTGGTGACCGGCACTAGAACAGAATCTTTTCTTCCTGGTCATGAGAATTCAGCCTCACATGGAAGTCTTCACCAAAGTGGGATTCAGAAAAAAAAAAAACCAAAACTGACTTTAGAAGTTAGGTGCTTTATTTATTGTTATATCAAGATATTTCTGAAAAACAGAGCCAATTTTCCTACCCATTGAATACAACACCCAAAAATGATTTTTGAGGTTTTATAACTATTCCATAGATGTTTACATTCCACAGAAATATGTTTTTGAACAATCCTAATTATATTCAGATTCTGTACTGAGGGGTTATATTCCTTAATTTTGTATTTTTTACAGTTAATTTATATTTTCATAAGAAAATGTAATAAAACCCAGCTTATTAGATTAAAATTATGCAGAGTTTAGAAGTAGGACATATTGTACCATAAACACCATAGACTCTTAATGTCTGAGAGGACCTTGGAAGTCATCTAGTACAACCTTCTAGTCAATCTCAATTAATGTGTATTCATGTAATCAGATTATGAAGAGAATTTGGTAACATTAGGACCACATTCCTCACTGATATACATTAGCCTTATAATCCCTAGCCCCTTGGACTTCTCTACTATTAATGTTCTACATAACTCAGATAAGATATGCTTGAACCTTCTAATTAACCCTAAACAAAGGTACAGTTCAAAATAGAGAATTCTCCTTTTGGGTGTTTCAGATTTTTCTCAGGTTTTCTCCTTTTACATCATTTCTCTCATATTGCCTTGGGCCTACGCCACAACAATCTAATTCTGACATCAGAAACCACAGCAAACTCACTTACCCTTTGGTCCAATTTTATACTTTCACATAAACGAGGTACCTGAAAAAAAGATTACCTAGATTCCACCCTATCTGTTCCCTCTGGCACAACCAAAAAATAGTATCAACTATTAAACAATGTACTAATCAGGGCAAAACTTAGTCCTGACTCTTTGACTCCATATAGTTAGATGTTCCCATATTTTATCGGGGTTTAAAAAAATTTAAGTGCCATCTTTTCTGTATTGAGGTAAGTAGAGTGCTGAACATATCTAGATGGAGTTTTTTAACTCACCATAAATATAACAACCACATTTAACCCAGATTTTGGCTTTGTATTTAGGACCAATTATCATGGAGTAGTTGAGATAAACAGTAAAAGGAATCAGTTTCTTCTCTTTGCAGACTAGCTTTTTTTGTTTCTACATAATACTGCTTAATTATGAGTAGCAAAATGGCAATTATAACTAAATATACACATAGGTAAATATAAAAGCAATTTACGTTTTCGCCTCTTAGTCGCCATCTTGTCATGTAGATGAATTCCATAGTGTGATCCTTCCCCATAATTTCACCATTGCACAGCACATCCAACTTTAAAAAGAACAGTTACAGATCCATTAACATAAGTAATTTTTAATTCATTAGTGTCTAACACCTTTTCCCCAAATTTCAAAAAAGATTCAAATAGATATAACAAAAGTATTAACTATTATTTAAAAAGAACACTGAATATTTTTATTAAAAGCACTGGGCCATCTCATAATTATTAACAATTCAGATATAAGTAACATGAAGCGGTGCTTGTCTTGTCCCACGTGCCTGTCACTTAAGTCTATCCACATGATTTTGAAATGCAGTGTAAGGTTTCTCAGTCCATGTCTCTGTGCACCCTTAAAGGTTTAGACATTTTTCTGTAATTGTCTCTTACAGAATGGGAAGGAATTGTGGAGGCCTCACAGCATCTTTGGCTTATGAATTCACCTTTCAGAATGCTTTCATCTTCTCAAGATTTAGAGGACTTGCTTTCCCCTCATTAATTTGTAGTCAAAGAGGGTAAGGGAATGAGTGTTTGGATATAAGATTTGTGGGTACTTCAAGGCATTTAAGAATTTCTGGTAATTGCCTGTAGCAAAGTCGATAGAACAGTTAGGGCTGGCAATGCCACAGGCCTGTTATCTTCTCGGGCTCTCTGGCCTGTTTTGCTTGGTTGGTAACTTGCTTAATACTTACAGGACCCTCTTCTCACCTTGCATCGAACTTCAGAAAGGGATGAGCTTCCCAAAGCTCACTTTTGCTCTAGAGTTGCAGGAACAAAACAACACCCCAAATCCTTAAGGCCCCAGGAACTGTGGCTATGATTTACCAATTCAATAAAGCATAGTTAAACATTTATCATAGGTCCCTATAAATAAAACATTCTAGTTCTCTAGCTATTAAAAGCAAACTGAAAAAGAGTTTGAAGTATGGGAAGGGGAAGAAAAATCGGTTTTAAATAATTCTGTGTCTGGTTAGAGACTAGAGAGTTCTGAACTTTAAGTCTAAAATGAGTAGCATTCTAATTGTATTAGACAAATTTTTAGCTGAATTATATTGATATTTTGATGATTTATGCTGACTTGCATGGACCTCAAAATGTTTCTCAGACAGTTTATTTTTAAAAGGACAAAATAGATAATTTTATTTTTTTAACCTTGCCTGTAAAATAAATTCACAAGCAAAGTAGTAAAGAGATTTAGGATGCAATTCCGAGTTAGATACACTGCTTCTGTTGTCATTTAAAAACCAAACTATCTTGCCCCAATTAGCAATGTTGTTGCAAAAGCTTCAGTTCTAGGTACTTCATTAAAACATCACCCTATGTGTTAGACAGCAAAATAAGGGGGGGGGGGACCAGTAAATGTTATTAAAAATCATAGGAACAGTCCTTTACACTGGGATAGATATGGAGCTGTCAGTGGACAGAGTCTCCAGCCTTGCTGGCTTCCAGTAGGGAGAGAGACACTGTGGGCCAGCAGCGAGACTGTATGAAAGAGAGAGTACTCTCAGCTCTAACAACTTCCTGGGACTTAGAAAATGACTTCAGTGGGTCACGCTTAGAAGTAAGGAAATAAAACTGTGTGTGGTATTTTTAAGAAGAGGATAAAGTACAAAACCGAATCATAAAAACAATCTCATTTTCTGTTTTCACTGTTGTATCTAAGTTGTCATCTTTTACTTTACCAAGTACATAGGGCTTTGATTAACTTTCACAATTTTTTCCCTAGTGTAAAAGTTGATGTCTCTGGAAACGTTTTAATCTTTTTTAATCTTACTCTCAACAGTAAGAATTTTTAACCCATGGGTTATTAGTTGTCTAAGAGTTTTTAAATAAATTTAGGATCAGAAGCTTCCTCAAAATACATACTTAATGCATGTCAATGCCTATGTTCAAATCTTATTTTATTTCTGCTATGATCAACTGTTCATATTAATATTGGTATACATAATGAAGAACTAATGTTGCCTTTGATGTCTTTGTTTATTATATAGGAAACTACTCTCAGTCTTTCGTTTCTTCAGAAACTACTTTCAGAACCCAAAGAGGAGGAAGAGAAATTAATTCAAGTAGTTAACACTGCCATTTGGACAGGTGAGAAATGGTAGCCATGTCTCCTCATTATTCCTAGGATCATAAACATTCTCCAAACACTGAACACATTACAAGCTGTGCTGTGATCACCATGAGGGCAATTTATCTCTCCATAAGGAAACTGGTAAATGGCATTTATGCAGATGCAGTTATGCTGGTTTTACCTACTGCTACACAATATCATTTTTGCTTATGACATAATTAAAGGAACATTATTTACAAAATCCTTTTTAAAAACACAATGTTTTAAATTCTGATAAAGAAGTCTATAAAGTAGAAATGGATCCTGTAGGTCTCATTTAAAAAAAAAAAAAGGAAACTAAAGCATATTGGCATTAAAAAAATCTAGCTGTAGTATTATTTAGGGAACACTTAAGCTATTTAAGTATCTCTTCTAATTGTAAACCACTAAATGCATTAGTAGCCTATTTTAGTCATATGTTAAATTAAAAAATACACATTATACAAATAGAATACTATATTCTCAAAATTACATTTTTAACATGAAAATAACCTAAGTTTCCACAAAAGTTAAATGTATTTTCCATTAATTTTTACTTCTTTTGTTAGAATTTTGTTCAGATCAGAATTATCAAAATGATCAAGATTAGATTAACAACTTACCTCATAAGAACTTGGAAGTTTTAGTTTCAAACTTAAAAATTTTTTAATAGTTCCCACAGTTACACGCGTAGAACACCGAATGAATTTCTTCATTAAACCCTAAAGGAAATAAAGATTATTAAAATATTCGACTTTATTTTTAATGAAACCACAGGTATCACTTCCACTGTCATTTTAAGGATTTTTCAAAATATTTTCTGAAAACATTTCAAAGTATAACTCCCTAGTACTAGTGAGTAAAAATGTTCCTAATTCTTGGATACTTACATGATATTCTTCAAGAATGTATGAGGAAAATCCTGGGTATCTGACAATCTCCACACCTCTAAACAATTTGGTTAACAACACATTATAAGTTTAATAAAAAATAAAGATCACAAAAAGCATATAGAGTATTTTATTATATAATGTTACTTCTAAAAGTATTAGGGATATTTTTAAAAAGTCTCATAACTTTATTTTTTAAAAGAGCAGTGATTTCAAAAGGGGCTCTAAGGAGTCAGATGTCTGATGGGCTGTGATAATACTTTACTGGAAAAACAATGTTCTATGTGTCTTGATTTTCCCCATTTTATTAGCAGTACTAATTTACTCTTTAAGCATGAACATCACTAAAATATAAGAACCAATCCAGAATGAATACTCAAACTGAGAATGAGTCAAAATGATAAACATGAACCAATTTGTAAAACAAAATTATATCTCCAAACCAATAGTAAAACAAACACCAGCAATTCAATCTTTTAAAAATATAAAGTATTACTTCTACGTATATGTATAGGGTATTAGGTCAGCAAGCAGAATTGTTCTTAAATACACTAAGCCAAAAGTAGAGCCATCCATGGGGTGCCTGGGTGGCTAGGTCAGTTAAGTGTCTGATCTTTATTTAGGCCCAGGCATGATCTCAGAGTTGTGAGACTGAGCCCCACCTTGGGCTCCACACTGGGCATGGAGTCTGCTTAAGATTCTTGCTCTCCCCCCAACCCCCCCTTCCCACCAACACATGCCTGCTCTCTTAGAAAGGAAAAAAGAGCAAGCCATCCAGTTAGTATCTGTTCTTAGCAAATGTGTTCCTAGCAAAATATATTTCCTAGCAAAGACCAACAGAAACAAATTTACAAATGGTGCTTGGTCACTATTCAGGGTAAAGTATCCATTAAAAGAAAACAGAAGTCAAAAGTTACATCTAAAGCAAAACATACTCTAGCCATTTCAAATGGGAAGACTGATACTCTAGATGGCATGGAAACAAAGGGATAAATAATCAAACAGATCTTCCCTATATCTATTCACAACATTTCAACTACCCTGAGGTTTCCTGTCTATTTTCTTGTTCCAAACAGCTTATAAAGAATGCTTTGCACATTTTCTGGGTCCCCGTTAAGTTAACGTGTGTTAACGTGTGCATATAAGAGTATGTAAGAGTATAACGTGTGGTTACTGAAAGACACGCTAAATGTATTATCTGCAGAGAAATCTCAGGTGTTTAAAGAGCCTATAGAAATGACCATGGCATTACCGGTAATACTCCTAAGATCTCAGAAATTATTAACAAGTATAGAAGTGTCAGAGATTTAAGGGAAGCTTTTAAAAACTAGGCAAAAGCTTGTTTCAGGAGTTTATAATTCAGTAAGGTTTGACATTAATCTCTAAGAAAATTCTGGCCTGAATTATTTATTTGTTTATTTACTTAATATTTTTATTTGCTTTTCACAGAGAGCACAAGCAGGGGCAGGAGGCAGACAGAGGGAGAAGCAGGATCCCTGCTGAGAAAGGAGCCAGATGTGGGACTTGATCCCAGGACACTGGGATCATGACCTGAGCCAAAGGCAGGTGCTTAACCGAATGAGCCACCCAGGCATCCCAAGAATTACTTAATATTTGATTTGTAAATACTTAGAAAATGACAGTATAACAAGTATGCATTTTCTCCCTATAGAAACATTCTGCAATTACACCAAAGTAATCCTGTTGCCTCCCAGCTAGGTCTACCGTAGACTTGCTATACAGGTCTCTAAAAAGTAATCAACACATTTTAAGAGGGGCAATGACAGTTAAGAGTGTTAGCAGAGATGATGGGACAGTGGGGAGAAACTTAAAGAGGTGATCTTAAGAGCAGTGCTTCTTTCCTGCCATTTCATTTCCTAACACAGACAGAAAATGGAAACATTTGTACTGCACACAGGGGTTAAGGGGAGACTGCTGCCCGAGAAAGTAGCTGTATAGCCCAGGCCTTGCCATTTGCTCTGGTGGGATCAACATTCTAGGTTCCCTCCCCTGCATATCTGAAGAAATATTATATGGAAAAAGATCTGTTACCTTTGTTACAATGCCCTTGGTTTCAAACCTGTTCTTCAGGCCAGAAGAGGAACAGTCAAAAAAGGCTCTTTCTGCTTCTAAGGTGGTTACCCTAGAAGCATTTTTACCCTCTATCCCCCCACCCCCCCCACCTTTTTTTAGAAGAGTTAGGAGATTAGATCTGAAATCAGCTAGTGGTCAATGTCATGGGTTACACAGTTTTCCAGTTGTAGGATACAATTCAACAAATCCTAATTCTTATGATTATTTGAGGGTTTTTTTTTTGTTTTTATTTTTTTCTGAAAGATTTTTGAGTGAGAGAAAGAGAAAGAGCAGGAGTGGGGGGAAGGGGCAGAGGGAGGGGGGAAAAGCTGGCTCCCCGCTGAGGAGGGAGCCCGATGCGGGCTCCAGTCCAGGACCCTGATATGACCTAAGCCGAAGGCAGACACTTAACCGACTAGGCCACTCGGGCACCTCTCTTTTTTAAAATCCAAATCTCTAACAGTGTTTTTTCTTTCATCTTTGGAATGGCATGTGTAGTACCTTCACCAGCTAAAGCAATTGTCAAGCTTGACTTTGACTTTTTTAAAAAATTGAAATATAATTCAAATACCATAAAAGTCACCATTTAAAGTTTATAGTTCAGTAATATTTAATATGTTCATGAGGTTGTGTAACCAGTACCATTACCTAATTCCAGGGCATTTCATTATCCCACTAAGAAACTTACGCATTAGCAGTCACTACTACTTCCTTCTCCCTCGACCTGACAAAAGCGAATCTACTTTCTGTGTCTATGGACTGTCTAGTCTGGACATTTCATAGAAAAGGAATCATACAATATGTGAATTTTGTGTCTGACTTCTTTCACTTAGCATAATGTTTTTAAGGTTCATTCATGTTGTAGCATGTATTAGTATTTGACTCTAACTTATAATTTATTATACACTATCCTAACTTATTTTCCTTTTTGAAAAAAAAAAAAATTAAAGGCATCCTACTTGGTGTGAAGTGGTATGTCAAGTGATTGTGATTTGTATAGGTCCTAATGACTAATGACGTTTAGAATCTTTTCATGTGTTCATTGGCCAATTTTTAAATCTTTAAAAAAAAAAAAGATTTTAATTTATTAGAATGAGCAAGCACAAGAGAACAGAGGGAGAGGGAGAAGCAGGCTCCCTGCTGAGCAGAGAGCCCAATTCAGGACTTAATCCCAGGTTATGACCTGAGCCAAAGGCAGATGCTTAACTGACTGAGCCACCCAGGCACCCCAGCCATTTTTTTTATCTTCTTTGGAGAAATGTCTGTTCAATTTTTTTTGCTCATTTTAAAAAATGAATTATCTTTTTGTTAATTTGTAAGAGTTCTTTATGTAATCTAAATACTAAAGGTTTACCAGATGTATGATTTGCAAAGCTTTTCTCCCATTGTATGTATTGTCTTTTCACTTTCTTGGTAGTATTCTTTGATGTACAAAAGTTTTTAATTTTAATTTTGATAAAATCTAACTTATATTTTTTTGAGGCCTGTGCTGATGGTATCATTTTTAAGAATCTACTTCTAAATCCGAGGTCTTGAAATTTTATTCCTATGTTTCTTATAAGAATATTAGAGTTTTAGTTGTTACATTTAGCTATGGGTCCATTTTGAGTTAATTTTCATATATAGCATAAAGTAGGGATCCAACTTCATTTCTTGCATGTGGATATTCAGTTGTTTCAGCAACATCTGTTGAAAAGATAATTTTTCCCCCTGAATTATCATGGCCACCATGCCAAAAAGAAACTCCTTATCAATATATGGGTTTATTTCTGACCCTCAATTCTTTTCACTCATCTGTAAGTCTACGCTTTTATCAGTATCATACTCTCTTGATTGCTGTAACTTTGAAGCAAGTTTTGAAATTGGGACTTCGAGTCCTCCAACTTTGTTGTGCTTTTTCAAGACTATTTTGACTATTTCAGGTCCCTTGGATTTCTATGACTTTTAGGATGAGCTTGTCAATTTCAGCAGGAGTGGCAATCGGAATTTTGGTTAAGGTTATCACTGAATCTGAAGAACAATTTGGGTAGGCTTGCCGTCTTCACAATATTAAGTCTTCTAATCCACAAACATGGGATGTCTTTCCATTTACTTAGGCCTTTTTTTTTTTTTTTAAAGATTTATTTATTTATTTATTTGAGGTGGCGGGGGAGGGAGTACTAGCAGAGGGGAAGGGCAGAGAGAGAACAAGCAGACTCCCCGCTGAGCAGCGAGCCTGTGGTGGGGGCTTGATCCCAGGACCCTGAGATCATGCCCTGAGCTGGAAGTCAGACATTTAATTAAGCCACCCAGGTGCCCCCTACTCTTTAGGCCTTCTTAATTTCTTTTAATGTTTTGTAGTTTTTTTTTTTTTTTAAGATTTTGATTTATTTGACAGAGATCACAAGTAGGCAGAGAGAGGAGGAAAGCAGTCTCCCTGCTAAGCAGAGAGCCTGATGCAGGGCTCGATCCCAGGACCCTGGGATTATGACCTGAGCCGAAGGCAGAGGTTTTAACCCACTGAGCCACCAGGGCACTCCTGTAGTTGTCAGTATACAAATCTTATGCTTTCTTGGTATATTCCTAAGTATTTTACTCTTTTTTTTAAATGCAATTAGTGCACAGAGGTTTTAATGTCTCTACATTCTCACCATTTGCTGTTTTCTGTTTTTGTTTTTTTTTTAAGATTTGTTTATTTATTTAACAGAGAGAGATCACAAGTAGGCAGAGAGGCAGGCAGAGAGAGAGAGGAAGGGAAGCAGGCTCCCTGCTGAGCAGAG